CCCCCCACATTATACTGACTCCGAGCCGACCAGTCCTTGTTGTAACAATTAATGCCGAGCGCCAGGCAGGGACCAAGAAGTACCATATTTTAAAGTCTTTTGGTATGACGCGGTCGGGGATCGAACCCGCGACCTTCCGCTCTCCGGGTGGACGCTCTAACCACTACACCACGGAGGCGGTCTTAATGCATCTGAACAGGTGTAAAAACAATAATTCAATAATGATGAGTAGATGCAGGAACCACCAGGACTATACGAAGTAAAAACATGTACACCATGTATCATTGAAAGAAATCAAACTATATCAGTACTGTAGGCGACGCTTTGTCTACTAGGGAGTTCAATTCTTGACACTAACTCCAAAAATCATCAGGAAAAGACCCCAAGCTCCTCATTCTCTTCCCACAGAGGTTACTCCTGTCATATCTTCCTACGTAACCTCTGTTCTAATACGTCCCTTTCATGGTGTGAGCGTTCAAGACTCGTGATTGGAGGCAATCAGATTTAGTTGTGCAATCAGCGACGTTGTTTCAAAAAGTGATCATTCGCAAGGCCTCGGTAATTTCCGTATGCTTCGAGAAAAACTAAATTTCTTCCCCTGCGCGATGCGCAAACGTTTCTTCTAGACAGAACTCAGTCATGTTATGGCGGATCAGTGGCGTCTCCATCACCCTCGTTGACAACGGACAAGCTTGCCATTAAACGTCTTGTGTGTAACATCAACACAATTCCCAGGCAGATGGGGGATATTTGTGGCCCAGCATTTGCTTGTGTTAGTCAAGTTGAATCTAAGTCGATGTAACACGTGTTCTGATTGGATAGAAAGAAGGGAGATAATTCATGTTGCGATCTTTTGCCGCTAGGGGATTTTACGAGAACCGGGAAATATGGCCGTATTAGAACAGAGGTTCGTAGGAAGATATGACAAGTAACCTCTGTGGGAAAAGAATGCAAGCTCCTGTGTTTAAAACTAAAAAGAACCCGGAAAGATTCCAACTTAAGCAACTTTCACAGACAAAGCTTCTGTGAATTTCAGCAGCTGCCAAACGTTTCCTTTCCCGAAGGGGCGGTGGGGTAGCCTAGTGGTCAAAGCGTGGGCTCGTCACGCCGAAGACCCGGGTTCGAATCCCCACATGGGTACAATGTGTGAAGCCAATTTCTGGTGTCCCCCGCCGTTATGTTGCTGGAATATTGCTAAAAGCGGCGTAAAACCAAACTCAGTCAGTCAGTCCTTTCCCGAAGACCATTCCATCCACGTTGTACATATAGAGCAACGTCTTGTGATTTACAGCTGATGATATAGATTATAATACCTGTGGTATAAGTCATCATACTACTCACTTCCCTATTGTTGTCACCATTATCGTATCAGATCTAGGCACCCGATAACATTGCCTGGTTTGAAACGAGGCTTTAAAAGATTACCGCCGTGAAAAGAGGCAGTCCCCACCCTATCAAGCACATGCCGTTGCTAAATAGAGGGACTACAATCTGACCCATCGACTCCATACCTCAACTGAAATATGTCCTTGGTATCTTTACCAAACCCGGCCGACGTATTATCATAGTAAACACCGCTCGCACAGGGGTGCAGGAACACAACGTGTCAGGACAATACACACTAGCCGTGTTAGTCTGTGTTTAGGCAGTTCATAGGTGCGAGTCTGCCTTGACCTGTGTCCAAACGTTCCAGCAGGGGTTCCACCGTTTTGGCCAGTGTTCATAGGAGCGAGTCTGCCTTGACCTGTGTCCAAACGTGCTAGCAGGGGTTCCACCGTTTTGGCCAGTGTTCATAGGAGCGAGTCTGCCTTGACCTGTGTCCAAACGTGCTAGCAGGGGTTCCACCGTTTTGGCCAGTATTCATAGGAGCGAGTCTGCCTTGACCTGTGTCCAAACGTGCTAGCAGGGGTTCCACCGTTTTGGCCAGTATTCATAGGAGCGAGTCTGCCTTGACCTGTGTCCATACGTGCAAGCCGGTTCCACCGTTTTGGCCAGTGTTCATAGGAGCGAGTCTGCCTTGACCTGTGTCCATACGTGCTAGCCGGTTCCACCGTTTTGGCCAGTGTTCATAGATGCGAGTCTGCCTTGACCTGTGTCCATACGTGCTAGCCGGTTCCACCGTTTTGGCCAGTGTTCATAGATGCGAGTCTGCCTTGACCTGTGTCCAAACGTGCTAGCCGGTTCCACCGTTTAGCGAGTGTTAGCCTGTGTTTAGACTGTTCATCTGTGCCAGTGCGTTGACCTGTGTCCAAACGTGCTAGCCGGTTCCACCGTTTTGGCCAGAGTTAGCCTATGTTCTCCTGTGCCAGTCATCCTGTGTAGCAGTATTCGCCGGAGTAAATCGAGTAAATCTAAACGGGACAGTGTAAACCGGTGTTCATCCGTGTAAGCCTGTGTTCATCCGAGTCAACGTTTCCGTAGACTGTGTTCATCAATGGTAGCGCTTCCGTAGCCTTGTTCATCCTAGTTAGCGTTTCCGTACCGGACAGTTTCCATAGACTCTGTCCATCCGTGTAAGCCTGTGTTCATCCGAGTCAGCGTTTCCGCACACTGTGTTCATCAGTGGCAGCGTTCCCGTACACTGTGTTCATCCGAGTGAGCGTTCCCGTAGTCTGTGATCATCCGTGGCAGCGTTTCCGTACCAGACAGTTTCCATAGACTGTGTTTACCCCAGTTAGCGTTACCGCACCGGACAGTTTTCGCCCGTGTTCATCCGTGTCTGCACCTGTTCAGCCGTGTCATCATCACTCCACGACCATGGAAACTGTGCCCGTCTTCACAAACAACACTCAACGGTCTGCCACGACTGCCATGGGTTTGTAAAACCTTTTCTATACTTTCTGGACTCGACTTATGACAGGATGGGTTTTAGAGGAGGCAGTACCCGCAATAACATTACGACGGCACAGAATTAATGTTGAAATATCCACCCATTGTCTATTTGCACAAAAAGGTCGTATGTCAAGATTTTTATTGTGAACTCGATTCAAAGTTGTTTCATTTAAAAACGGTTTTTGACTTGAGTTCCCCATTGTGATATTGCTGGAATATTGCGAAAAGTGACGTAAAGCCTTACTAGTTCTCTTGACTTGAGTGTTCAATCGAAACTGCGTTACGAAACTTGTCCCTATACCTCAAAGAGGTTTTAATACTACATTTGTTGTAAGTCTCGTTCTTCGTAAAAACGTACGAGGGTCTAAGCGATTTTATATCGCTTTGAATAGCATATCCAAGGATGTCTTATAGTTTCGTCATTGATTCTGCTTTTGTATTGGCCATGGTATACTTCGATTAGGCAGAGATCTATAAACTGAATAGAAATCAAATGTAACTTAGTGCACTATAAACTAATTAAATACCATTGTGTTAGGGCTCTGAAGTATTCCAACAATGGTCGGGTCCAGGTGTAGATGAACTCGAGTGTGGCAGACAAGAGGAGATAACCCACGCCTTCATCCGTCACACCTCCCTCCTTTTCTTTAACCCACAAGAAGATTCGTTCCCGTAGACTAACATCTAGTCTCTGAAAATAACATGCTTTGTAGAAGAAATGGTTCCTAAAAACAAACGCAACAACCTGGAGAAGACATTCAACCGCTCATGCAACAGTCTGACTTTTCTGACTAGATGTAGACACCAATACCTGAACCCTAAAGTTTTAACACCTCGGCATCTATTGCCATAAAGATGCTGTCAATCCTTAAAACTTCTTCTTGTTCGTCAAACCAGCTTCTAAATGCCACTTAAAGAAGTATAACTTTGCAGGATTGTGATATTGAGAAAGCACTATAAGTACTTCACGGGTTTGTGTAGGCTTCGTTCCTCTATCCAAAGGAATATGCAGTATACAAAAACTCGTATAGACGAGGGGTAGATTATGTGATTGATGTTTCAACACAAATACTTCCTTCATCTAATAATAAAAATACGTATAAGCTTAATGAATATTCGTTAAAGTTATTTAACGTGAACATTTATGTGTTATGAAGAAGACCTGATGTTATTCATACTTCATTTGTGTTGCGAGAACCTTATCGACTGTACATCTAATGCCTATAGACGGGCATGGACAACCCGAGCTTTTATCATGTCCCACAGATGATTTCAGGTTAGGCTTGTGTTTGCACACGTTTTGTTCAATGTCTCGCAAAGAACAATATCTAAGGCAGATAACTCCCTCGAATAAACCATTTGATAACTTCATTTAGCGATAAGTTAGCAGTAAGTGAGTGAGTTGTGTTTACGGCCGCTTTTGATCAGTTGTTTTACGCTTTTATAACGTCATTTTGATTGACTTTTCAATTGAAATTTATATGTACCTTTGACATTGTTATCGTACTTATCAACTGGGATAATATTTTGACAATGCACAGTTTCTTTATGTGGCTAGTATATTTGTCAGTCAGTGAGTAAAGGTTTGTCTTCACCAGACGAAGTTTCCAAACAAGGGAAGACAACTGTGTTCCCCTGACGTTAAACAGACCCATCTTGCCTATTGCAACTGGCTACCAACCACTTTTGAATTGTACCCAGAAACATGGATCTAAATGTAATGTACTTTAAATAGATGATTACCTCTGTGCACTATGCTATTCTCAAGTCTTATGTCTCAAGTGTCATGTTTGCGTTGCTAGAGATGGTATATACTTTCAATATGAAAACAAATCTATATCTCTGATGTTACCTTGGAAAGTGGGTAGCACAGTGGTTAAAGCGTTAGCTCGACTCAAGAAAGACTACTGTTGGTGACCTCGCTGCTAACGCTATTTGCCTTGTCTTGTTATACTGTTGCGGGAGGTGGGCTAGCCCAGTGGTTAAAGCGTTCGTTCGTCACGCCGAAGGCTCGGGTTCGATTCCCCAAACGGGACAGTGTGTGAAGCCCATTTCTGGTGTCCCCAGCTGTGATATTGCTGGAATGTTGCTAAAGGCGGCGTAAAAACATACTCACTCTTAAACTGTTACATTACTCCACTCCTGACCCTATTGGTCTTGTCTTGCAGTGTATGGTTACAGCAGCTTGGCAGTGTTCATCATCACACTCTGTTCCCTTGTGGGCGTCCTGTTCGTCAAGATGTCCAAGGGCAAAACCGGAAATTACGTCATGGCGTCCATGTTGGCTCTGGCTGTCGGGAACCTTTGTGGGGATGCCGTCTTACATTTAGTCCCCGAGGTAGGACTTTTTTTTTGGGGAGTTCGGCATGTTTGATTGTTTTATAGACAAGTGGAGAATTTGTTAACAGTACATGGTCGTCTCCTATAAACATGCACAGGATTCACGATAGTTCATCATAGAAACTGGGGCCAATTATTTATATTTCTCAAGCCTCATTTAAACAAGGCCCGTTTATATTTTAATTTTGACCCACATATGTGAAATTTAGGTTCAGCAGATAAACCATTGTTTCGTGTTGTTGTTTTTACATGTGATTAAATATGTACAGGTAATTGGCGAGGAAGGAACGGACACTGACGGCGATGGTCACTTCACGAATGAAGTAATGTTGCTTGGCAACTCTGACATCGATATGAATAGCGTAAAGATGATGTTGATGTTGGCCTCCATCTATCTGTTCTTCCTGCTGGAGATGATTATGAGCGTCTACCACAAACACGACGTCACGTCACGATCGTCTACAACAAACACGACATCGTCACAGAGTGAGTGTGTGATGATAGTCTACCACAAACACGACAACGGACGACGGTGAGTGTATCAAGATCGTCTACAACAAACACGTCACGGAGACGACGGTGAGTGTGTGATGATAGTCTACCACAAACACGACCACGTCACGGAGACGACGGTGAGTGTGTGATGATAGTCTACCACAAACACGACCACGTCACGGAGACGACGGTGATAATGATAGTCTACCACAAACACGATAGTCTACCACAAACACGACCACGTCACGGAGACGACGGTGAGTGTATCAAGATCGTCTACAACAAACACGACCATCGTCACGATGATAGTCTACCACAAACACGACCACGTCACGGAGACGACGGTGAGTGTGTGCTGATAGTCTACCACAAACACGACCACGTCACCGAGACGTCTGTGATCACTTACAGCTGGTAAAAGGGGGGCGATTTCAGTTAATATACATTTTATACTATGGTGAGTGAGTGGACATAGTGAGCACTAACTGGTTCTACATGCAGTCAGAAAATACCCCGATCCCCGGTCAATCAAACCATTGTTGACATTACCAGCCACAACTACCAAGATGGTTTGCTTGGTTGTTGCTTAACGCCAGACTCAGGAATAGTCCAGCTATCCGTTAATAATCGAGTCTGGACCAGACAATCCTGTGATCAACAGCATGAGCATTGACCACGCAATTGGGATACGATGGCATGTGTCAACGACGTCAGCGAGTCTGACCACCCGAATCCGTTAGTCGCCTCTTACGACAAGCAAGGGTTGGTGAAGACCAATTCAAACCCGGATCTTCACGGGTAACTACGAAGACGGGATATGATCGGAAGGTATTCCTGGGTGTACCAATATCTCTGACATTGACTAGTTGCTGTAGTATTATGTCAGCTGATTGGAACACCATTTATATATGTTATCACATGAAGCTATTCACAGTACTGATGCAATAACGCACCAGACCCCAAGAGCAAGAACTTAAGGTTTCTCGGCTTCTTGGAGTAATGGATTTGTCACAAACTCGAAAAAACTCTTCCACTCGGAATTACTGATTATGCGGGGCGGTGGGGTAGCCTAGTGGTTAAAGCGTTCGCTCGTCACGCCGAAGACCCGGGTTCGATTCCCCACATGGGTACAGGGTGTGAACACCATTTTCTGGTGTCCCCCGCCGTCATATTGCTGGAATATTGCTAAAAGCGGTCTTAAACTAAACTCACTCACTCACTGATTATGTCTCTCTCATATATTGTTTAAATTCTTAAGGGGTCATAGTGTAATTAGATCTACTAGGAAACGGAGTCTAGAGCTACGCAATACTGTGTACATCGTACACACTTGTACCTGCCATGTAGGACGTGAAGGATTATGTTAACACCTAAGGGAGACACAGATGTATTGTTTGCAGATCGTTATTCCCGAGTCACAGATTCCAAAGAAGAAGACGTTGACCCGTGTTGTGCCCGGAAGTACTGCCCACTTGACCCCTAGCAACTCCACAACGGTTAGTACTACCGAACTTCCTGCTCGCCCATCCTCGGTACACAGGGCCATATAGTCCACTTGTCAGTAGCATCAACTTTCTTCCTTTCTTCGCCAAGTATTTGTTACCAGGGCCAATATTCTTGTAACATCCTAGCCCAGAACTTCAAGAGGCTCGGTTCTGGACATTGCCTCTCAGACAAAATGTTTTACAATAAATTTAAAGGCCATCATGAAAACGGTCATGGTTCAGGGTCTACCTTTATTTCAGGAAACTATAATGATTAATACAAGACAATTCTTATGGATAACAACTTCTTGATTTATTTTACACAACGTCTCTGGGCTAGTTCTTGCCCCTTCGTCATCTGGATGACCTGACGAAGGGCAAGAACTAGCCAAGAAACGTATTACTACACCAACTTCTAAATGCCTTTGAAGAATTTTATAATGATTAGTGTTGTAGATTATCACTTAACCTGTTACCACAATCTTCTGTCAGCTGGGTTTGGAGTTAGAAAAGTGAAACCAATGACAATCAAAGACAACACATCTTAACCGTTGTGTATTTCATTCTTGAGAAACTTAAAAAGTATATGCCCGCGCGGACAATGGAGACTAGATCATAAAGCCTAGTCAGCCATAACTGATATTTACTTTACACACATAACACCTTGCATAATGTAAATGACGGTGAGTTTCATGATTAAATTCTCTTTCCAAGTCCAGACGACACTTTCAGGTGGTCGGTATTTACCAATATAGCTCAACTTAAGCATTGTTATTCCCTTTAGCCATCCATGGAGGTGGCCATTCCGTCTTCCATAGATTCTTTAAACTCCCTCCCGAGTGTTCCCGAAGAGAATGAGGGTCCTGAAGAAGAGGTCCAGATCACAATCCAGAAGCAAGACAACCTCCTTGGTAAGTAGCTTCGTTCGTCGGTCTTCCAAATTAAAAGGTGACAGTGTCTAAATGCTCGACATACATGCATAATTCAAAGGTAGGCTAGAGGAATAGGCTGTCCCGAAATAGTTCACAGAGAGACATACAGACATCACGCACGCACGCACGCACGCACGCACGCACGCACGCACATATTGAATTTGAAACTGATTTTGGACTGAATGATCAGAGCAGTGATGTTAATCATGATGAAAGTATATGATCGTTATGATTACTGAATGGTCTGAGCTCTGTTCAGTAAGGTGTGCAAGAGCATTTCTTTCCTCAACATTAATCAGCTCAGAAATATTTATACCGGACCTTGTCTTACGGCAGCCCCCATGACGTTAGCGTGGATGGTTATAGTGGGCGACTCCATACACAACTTCGCCGACGGTTTGGAGATAGGAGCAACATTCAGTGATGGCTTGGCGTCTGGTCTTTCCACGTCGCTGGCGGTGTTCTGTCACGAGCTGCCACATGAACTGGGTGGGTACCGTTATTTACGACCCTTAAGGGGATAACGTCATTAAACGTCGTAATTTCCAAATTATTTCACGGTTGTCAGTTGTGGCTACTACTTATTAATGCCATTCCCGCGTGAACGGTGTCAAAGCAAACATCTTGTCATTGCACCAGTGGCATGCACGAAAGCAGAATAGCTATAAACCATATATGATATATATGTTTGATAGGAGACAGCAAGTATAGAATTGATTTGACTTATCACATGAATCGGAGAAATGTTCCTTTATTTTTATGAGGCATTGGGATAAGCTGTGTGATTGAAGGTTTCTGAAACGCTGAAGACCCGGGTATAGGAGTCACCCTTCATGGATCCATTTCAGGGTCCCTCAGTCGTATAAAATGGAATTTGACTTAAAGCGGCGTAAAAACCCATACATATCTGCAACTTTATGGACTAGACGTTGGGGTGGTGGGATAGCCTGTGGTTAAAGCGTCCGCTCGTCACGCTGAAGACCCGGGTTCGATTCCCCACATGGGTACAATGTGTAAAGCCCATTTCTGGTGTCCCCCGTCATGCTATTACTGGAATATTGCTAAAAGCGGCGTAAAACTAATGCAGCTTTATGGACAAGACGCATGAACAAGAAGTAGCGCTGAAAAATCCCTACTATCATGATGTAGTTGACTTCTATCGAGTTTCAAGTTTTAGTTACATCATCAGACTTCATGAAACACTGTCAGATGTATACAAACCGTCTTGGGTTTTGTCGCTATTTAGGGCGACGGTTATCCTGATGGTGTACGCGTAGGCCCGTTCTGCTATACGCACAGTTCGATTCCCGAGCATATGTTTGTCCATTGCAATATTATAGAGATGGTTTTAAACGGCAAAGCAGTTGCGAAAATTCAGTAATCAAGTACAAGGCATGCCTCAAAGGTAAACAACATAAGTTTTCTATCATTAATCCATAAACACCCATCATCATATTGTTGTTACAGGGGACTTTGCAGTGTTGATATCAACAGGCATGCCAGTCAAACGGGCCCTGATTCTGAACTTCGTGTCAGGTTTAACAGCGTTTATTGGACTGTACATTGGCATAGTATCTGGTCAGCACAGTGATGTCCGACAACTCATCTTCAGTATTGGGGCCGGCATGTTTATATATGTGGCGCTGGCCAATCTGGTAAGTCCACCTTACTATGAGTAGCTTCAGGGTACAGGGCTCATCTGTTTTATTACGTAACGTTTGTTTGTTTAAATCCGGGTTAGAATTGGTCTTCAGCAACCCATGCTTGTCGTGAGATCGGGTGGTAAGGCTCGCTGAATTGGTTGACATAGGTAATATCAAAGCCAAATCATGGATAATAAAAGGGGAGATACACGGAAAGGAAGACGCCCTTCCCATGATCAACGGAAATCTCAGTTCATATTAGGGCACCGACTTCATCACAGGCACTAGAGCCCATCTACTAGAACCATGTCCCGTGAAGGTCCGGGTTAGAATTGGTCTTCAGCAACCCATGCTTGTCGTAACATGCGACTAACGGGATCAGGTGGTCAGGCTCGCTGACCTGGTTGACACATGTCATCGTATCCCAATTTCGTAGATTGATGCTTATGATGTTTATGATCACTGGATTGTCTGGTCCAGACTCATTTATTTATAGACTGCCGCCATATAGCTGGAATATTGCCGAATGCGGCGTTAAACAGCAGACAAACCAAATAACGCAGAATCCCAACAGGAGAAACGACCATGGTATTCGGGATTCTGTTTACATACAAAATCTGACTGACAAACTTGCAGACGGAACATTTACTTTGTAATTGCAGGTACCAGAACTGATGAAATATTTTGAGCGGACAAGAAACTGGAAGATGTTTCTATGTCAACACGTGGGTCTTCTCGCTGGATACTCGGTCATGGTGCTCATTGCTATCTTTGAGGATGAAATTTCTTTGTAACACAAAATAATACGACTTACAAAGACTTTTGGACAAACGCAACAACAAAGTCAGTGGCAGATGCGCTGATGCTAGATGAAGTGATCGAGCAAATATCCAAATACTGAAACATCTCAAATATTAAGTGACGTTTCTTCGTCACATTGAAAATCCCTCGTACTACACCCCCCAATTACAGTTTGTTTACCAACTTTTGCCCAAGTAATTACTATAAGCAAATAAATATAGTACGATAATGCTAATAAAAGCGACAAATCTCTTTACATAATATTCAGAAATACGTGACAAAGTCAGAGTCGATTATACGGTGTTTATGAATCACTATCAAATAGTGAGGATGACAGATATTCACTTAAAGGTGAGCGTACCCTGCCTCGACGTGGCTCCCGTCACAGACACATGCACAGCCTAGTCAACGATACCGGAACAGAAGTTATAAGTCAAAACAGGGAATTACTATTTGTGTCTGGTGCCTCAAATATGGAAATGTTGTCTTAATGTCACCACTGAACATTTTGAAAGCCTTACAGATGCTTTGATCAATCAACCTCTGAGCAGGAGTCGAATGACGGTCTTTGAAGTCTGATTTGACCCCAAAACTTGTGACACAAAAACATCAAAGGCCCAGCTCTATGACCAGCTCCATTCTTGACATTGAAAGTAGAAGTTTGTCTTGTCATAAGTCTTGTAGATGTGTCAATCTGATTTAAATATAGATCTGAATATGACAAAGATGAGGCGGTAACAATTGTTTCCTTTATTTCAAGGTCAGGGTCCCCATCCACAAGGAGTTCGTAACGTTACGACCTGTCGTAACTCCATAGTTTATCATAGGCTTACGAATGTCGTAGTGCTACCTCAATTTGTCATATTTTAAATCAGTGATTGATGACTATCTTTAAATTCGTCTGTTAATAAGACTTGGGTTGTATCTCCACCTTTTCTTCGTGTGGGGGCTCTGAATCCACACAGAGGTCACCATGGCTTACAGGGTGTTTGCTGACAGCTCAGTCTGCAGCTGCTCAACTCAATGTACCTGCCCCAGACAGCAAACAGATTGGCATGTTATTACCATGGTTACCTGTTGTTCTGAATAATGAATACTTTATAAAAGTGCGAGCAGATCAGAAGGCGATTATGTACTGGACTCAGTAACCAGCAACATAGGTAAGCAGGCTTGTAGTGTCCTTGGAGAAATGTCAAGTTTTGATTTTATACAAACATTAAAATCTTGACAGGTACACTATATTCTATGGCTTGAATCACTTGATGCCGTGTTGACTATACAGAACTATAACATAGGTTATATTTGGGATTACACTTTCACTTTCTCAGTAAAGTACAGATCCGGGATTCAAAACCACACTCTCAGAGTCAGAGTCAGGCACCTTAGCACACAAAGTCAGACGCCTAGATGGCTCAGCCACCGCGGCTGAGCGGTCTAAACTTTGTGTGCTGGCGATTAGGTGCCTGATTCTGAGGGTGTGGGTTCTGAATTCGGATGGCACTCAAACACACACACACAAACAAATAAATAAATAAATAAATAAATAAATAAATAAATAAATAAATAAATAAATAAATAAATAAATAAATAAATAAATAAATAAATAAATAAATAAATAAATAAATAAATAAATAAATAAATAAATAAATAAATAAATAAATAAATAAATAAATAAATAAATAAATAAATAAATAAATAAATAAATAAATAAAGTACTAGAACCAGTACTTTACTGAGAAATTGTAATCCCAAATATAACATATGTTACATTTCACCACTTTCTAAAATGGCATTGTGTATTTCATATGCAGAACTAGAAGACGGTGTGTTACAGCATCTTGTCCTGAATTCTCCATGACACAGCGCCACCTTGCCACTACCTTACTTGTATACGTTTTGTTCAGTATCTGAACTAATCTAGCTAAATCTAGAACATTTCTGGTTTTGAAAAGATAAACAGCTAATCTTGGTTTAAAAAAAGTCACTTGTGAATGTCAATATTATACTCAAGCTTTCATAGGGATACAAAGCATTTCATACTGTCTGATATCTAGGGTCAATAGCTGTGTATAATTATGTTTAATAAATTTTGTAATGATGCTGCCAATATCACAGTTCCATAGCAGTGGTAATACTATTTGAAGAACAACATCTCCAAGCAATCCATCAGATTCGGTCCTCGTTTGGACAATGACTATTCCTACCGCAAATTGAGTTGTATATATATCCAAATCACAACTACTGTTTCATGCATGTGACCTCAATTAGACGACCCTTCTTTTCATGTTTATAGATTTGACTTTACAGAAGGACAAAAAATATAGTTTCAGTCTCTACTTGACTCTTGTCTTTGATTAGAATTCCATTATTATTATTATTAGCAAATAGTTGATCTGATCGATTGTATGAATGTAATATCTTTCTCACGGAAAATATACTACGCACATAAAGAAACTGTGCATACAAAAATTTAAAATCTAAATTTATCAAACCTGTGTAGACACATAAGGATTTAAACTCAGAGATTAGTGACATGTATCCAACATGCATGCACGTGCCACGTTCCGTGACGTCAGTGGGTTCGTCCTTGAGACGTGCAATACGTTGTTGCACGTGCATTCCGGGAAAGAGAAACAGAGCAAATGAATGCCACACAATACTGTCACTTTGGAAAGCTCAACCCTGCCCTTGCGATCGTTCAAAAAATTAAACGGCTATTGAAACGCATAGCATGCCAAGGCTCACGTCTGCACAACGTCATGAGGCCATTGGGATGGTCCGTGGGGGAATGTCTCAACGACAAGTGGCTGCACATTTCCACTGCCACCGGAACACCATTTCTGCACTGGTGAGACGCTATCAGAACACAAATGACGTCATCGATCGGCCACGTTCTGGACGTCCACGTGTAACAACGCCAAGACAGGGCAGATGGATAAGGGTGACCCATCTTCGCCACAGGTTTCAGACTGCAGTGATGACTGCCCGAACCATCCCAGGACTTCGCCGTATCCACCCCAACACAGTTCGACAACGATTACGTCATCACGGGATCAGACCACGACGTCCCGCCATACGGCCTATCCTGAGACAACGTCATCGACCAGTTCGCCGAATGTGGTGCCGAAATCATGTCCGCACACCCTTGTTTTGGTGGAGAAATGTTGTTTTTACAGATGAGTCCAGGTTTAACATTTCCCATAGTGATGGACGTCAACGTGCCTACAGACGCGTGGGAGAACGTTATGCACAGGCCTGTGTCTTGGAGAGGAATCGCTTTGTTGGTGGTTCCGTGATGATTTGGGGTGGAATAACAGCACGCCAAAGAACTCCTTTGGTGATTGTTCAGGGCGACTTAACTGGTGTGGGCTACAGGGATCAGATTCTTCGACCTGTGGCAATTCCTTTTCTGCAACGTCATGGCCCTGGGTTAACATTCCAACAGGACAATGCCCGCCCTCATACGGCAAGGGTTGCTATGGATTTCTTGCAACACCACAACGTTGACTTACTGCCTTGGCCTGCAAATTCACCGGATCTCTCCCCGATAGAGCATGTTTGGGACGAGATGGATCGACGTCTACGCCGTCTTCCTCATCCGCCAGATAACGTCCTTAACCTTGCAACAGAACTTCCCACAAGCCTTCCTTGCACGATTGATAGGCTATATGCGTCGTCGATGCACTGCTGTTCTCAATGCCGATGGTGGACATACCTGTTATTGAGCTTGTGACATGGTCGTTTGACCCCTGTCCCGCTTGTGGACTCGTGACGTCATTGTGATTGACTTGTCAATTGAAATTCTCCCGACTTGTTATGGTCTCATGATCCCTCCATTAAAGTTTATATGTACCTTTGACATTGTTATCGTACTGATCAACTGGGATAATATTTTGACAATGCACAGTTTCTTTATGTGGCTAGTATACATCCTGCACAAAAAGTAATCATCATCGTGTACATTTACAGTATTAGCATGCATTTTTTCCCACCATGTCGGGTAAAACATATTGTAGAAACCTTCATTCATTCTTATTTGACTGACCATAGCTTTATTAGGAAATATGAAATAAACAAACACAAAATCTTTGAGGTTCTTTACAGTGTACAAGGTATCAAGATTTGATCAGAAATGTACTTCAAAATGTACTGGAAACTGGATACATCTACTTTCTAAAGACCTTGGCTAATGGTATATTTAATAGTAAGACTTGTTAAGTTAAGTGCAAAAATTACATCCAATGTGTGTAGAGTCTTATGAACATGTATACCTATGATATATGACATGATAAGACTCTCACAATACCAAACTGGTTACCTCAATTTATGGCAAATCTTTGCCTTTCAAAGCAGCATTCCTTCACTTAATCACTTGTAGCTAATCTGAAATGAAGGTTAGATATCTTTTAATCGGTTGTCTATCTCCCGTCTGCCACGGCAGCCATATTGAATTTTTCCCAGGTGTACGATTTTAACACATGAAATACAGAATTTGTGTGCAAATCATATTAAATGGTTTTATTTTGTCATATTTGATATTTTCTCATGCCTTTGACCTAACACATAACCGGTTTTCCCGAAGTTTATCCTTTTTATCATTCCAAGATAATTCATAGAATTCTCATCCTTGTTAAATTATAGCTGCCATGGCAGCACGTTTTAATGTTGAAATATCTTTTAAAGAATACATGCCTGACATGTTTGTTGTAAGGTTGCAAGACTCATTTCCAGTTTAATATGACATATTCCTTACTGAAATAAAATGTGCATCACTTCCATATAGCACCCATTGATAATTGTTTGCTGTGAATAGTTCTTCTTCTTCAGCACAGCTGAAATAAATCTATGCTGACACTTATGGAGATGATGTTCAACCTGTTAACATTTTCTTCATAATGTAACAGAAGGATTTATGAAAATAGCATCACTTCTTGCTAAACATGGGACAGGCCATTGTGTCAGTTCTCCAATCCCACTGGCAGATTACAAATGACAAGTCTCTTCTTTCATGATGTAGTTTAATCACCACATATACAAAACTGTCTCACAACCCAGCATTAAATTATACATAAATATACAATCATATCCTAAACAAAACAATCAGGAGTGCTTGAAGCAAGGAGCTTGATGCACAGGTAACAGTCATAATACATATATGACTCTGATCTATGGCGGTCTTTAATCGGGGTCTGAAAACTGTCTCAGAAAACTGTTCCACTCTTGTAGCTCTGTCTTGGTTGAGACTTCACTATCAAGTGCCCCGAGAGGCTAACTCTAGTGTTATAGGAACAGTTATAAACATAGTAAACATTTGGCCATAAGATCTAAGACATTAACAAAACAAAACAGATATATAGTCTGTGGTTGGTTGGTTGTTGTTTAACGTTACACTCAGCAATATTCCAGCTATATGGCGGCGGTCTGTAAATAATAGAGTC